ACTACAACTCGAAGGCATCTGTTCTTCTTCTGTCGTTCTTAGTCATTGTCCAGCTCTCTGAAGCATAACCAGTAATTGAGAAGACCATGGCCTGCATTGGGTGCACCTTTGTCTCTAGACTGACATTGTAGCTCTTCAGCTCCCTGGAAAGGTCCATGACAGCAGATTTTCCCAATGCAATTTGTCTTTTGATTTCCTGATATTGGTGCTAAGAGTGTTGATTGCGGATCTGAGCAAGCTGTAATTGCTAACCACCTCGATCTCTTGTCCCTCTATCATGATGCTGCCAGTTGGCCCAGTGGTGAGAATCTTTGTCTTCTTGATACTGAGTTTCGATCCATATTGAAGACTACAGTCCTTGACCTTTTGCAGCAAGCGCTTCAGGTCTTTTTCAGTTTCAGTGAGCAAGGGTGTATCATCTTCATAGTGTAGGTTGTTAATGAGTTTTTCACCAATCTTGATGCCACACTCCTCCGAATGATCTATTCTGCATTCATATTGTAAAGGCTTATCTAAATAAAAATGTAATAATAAACAAAACATATGTTATTGTTGCTAGATGACATTGAGTTGACTGACTCAGCAGCCTTGTCTACAACAGAATGAACCTGTGTCCAGTCCCATGTTATCCTCACAGACCCTCTGCTTTACCAAGCATGGTATCTTCCCCCGGGTACTGACCCATCTTGATCACATGCCTAGAGTATATGAGATGAAGGGTCACTGTCTTCATGTATAAGAAGTATTCTAACAATACTTCAGCTAAGACAGAGTGGTGGGTTGTTTTGTTTTGTTTGTTGTTGTTTTTTTTGAAGCTGAGGGTATATTCAGTTGTATTTGCCAATATCACAATTCATTGGTAGCAGTTCTTTGGGCTTCATTATTCATTGCTCAATTTTCAGTGATTGCAGTTCAGAGGTAAATGAAATCTTGCATGACTTGAGTCTTTTCTCCATTTATCATGGTGACATTCTTGGGTCCAGTTAGGAGAATTTTTGTTTTCTTTATTTTGGGCTGTCATGCTTACTGTAAATATCTTTGTTTTCTGTATATAAAGTTGCATCATCTGCATACAAAGTTTGTTATGAGATTTCCTTCAATCCTCATTGTCATATTCTTCACATATTTTAGTTCTCACATTATTTGCTCATCCTACAGATTAAATAAGCATGGTGAAAAGATACAACTATTGTGTACTCCTTTTCTGATTGTAAATCATGCAGCATCCCCTTGTTCAGCTTGAATGATTGCATCTTGAGCTATCAACAAATTCTGTGTGAGCACGCTTAAAAGTAGTGGAATTCCTATTCTTTATAGAATATATTATAATTAACAAACTTGACTGCCTTTGGGTAGGCAATAAAAAAACAAGTAAAATCTCTCTGGTATTCACTATTTTCAGCCAGGACAGACCTGATATCAGTAATGCTATCCCTCATTCCGTGGCCTCTTCTAAATTCAGCCTGAGTTTCTGGCTGTTCCTTGTAGATGCACTCGCTGTTCCAGCTGCTTTGGAATTATCTTCAGCATGACTTTGCTTGGATGTAATATTGATATTGTTCTGAAGTTTCCATTTCTGTCAGATCACCTATTTTTCCGTTTTGGAATGGACATAAAAATGAATCCTTTCCAGCTGATTGGAGTGTTATCTTCCAGGTTTCTTGGGGTGGAGGTGTGAGCACATGTAGGGCTGCATCTATTTGTTAAAACACTTTGACTGATTCTCCTAGAGCTTTGCTTTTCATCCTTATTTCAATGCAACTTGGATTTCTTATTTCAGTACCACTGGTTATTGATCCTGTGCTACCTTCTGAATAACTGAATAGCAACCAATTATTTTTGGTATAGTGATTGTGTATTCTTTCCATCTCTTTTTAATGCTTCTGTTCTGTGTTTTGCTTATAACATCCTTCAGTGTTGTTACTTAAGGATTTAAGTTTTTCTTCAGTTCTTTCAGCTTGAGAAATGATGGGCATATTTTTTCCTCTTGGTTTTCTAACCCACTTTGCACATTTTGTCACAAGAGTTTTGCGTTGTCTTCTTGCATTACCCTTTGAAATCCTCTATTCATTTCTCTTATTTTATCATTTCTTCCTTTTGCTTTATTTTCCTGCATTTTGGAGCAAGTTTCAGAATCTCTTCTGACGTTCCTTTTGCTCTTCTCATTCTCTTTTTAAATTGGCCTTTTGCTTTCTTCCTGTATGATGGATGTCCTTGATCAGCTCTTTGATCCTTTATATCTGTGTGTCATATATGTTCTTGAAATGGTCTGTGCATTCAGCTAAGGAATAAACATACTACTACTGTGGCTCTCTTGCACTCGCTTCGTTTTCTTCAGTTTCATCTTGAACTTACATAGGGATAATCGATGGTCTATCTCACTGTCAGTCCCTGGCCTTGTTCTGATTGATGATATTTCAAAGGAATAGAATATAGAAAAATATTCAATTCTTTATTAAAGAGTCTCAGGCTTGCTTTTAATTGTTTGTGGTCAAACATTCTTCTAAGTCGTATAGCCCTGGTGTGTCCACTTGCTGCACAGAAGTAACTTGTCGTTGTTGTGAAGCCAAACACTGTGACACTGATGTGTCAAATGCAAGAATGGTTACCCATGGTGGACAGTGTTTGGTGGAGCTCCCAGGTTAAAACAAGCTTGGAAGCAGGAGTGGCATCCACTTCCACAATAGCTTGTCTCGGGACAGAAGTTATACAGGTGTCCAGGACTTTGATTCATAGGGTCGCTATGAGTTGCCTACAACTTGATAGCACTTAACAGCAACAACAACAACAACAACAACAACAACAACAACAACAACAACATCTTCTTCCACAGTTGTCGTTTGTCTGATTTTGTTATTTTTAAACTGATATGATCTATGTGTTTGTGTATGTTGTTGAATAAAAGAAATTTTTGATGAATATGTTGGGTTTGTTTTTTTTTTTAAATATGTTGGTTTTGAAATTCTATTGTTTGACCTTTGCCGTCCCTTTCTCTTATCAAGGCCTTGTTTTCCTGCTGATTTCCCGTTCTACTCACCAGTAATTATTGCATGTTGATTGCTTTGTGATCAGTTTTAGAACGCAGAACTTCATTCTCTTTTCTTTTGACTTCAGTAGTTGGTGCATAAATTTGAATAATAGTAGCTGTTCTTCCTTGTAGACATATGGATTTTATCATTACTGAGTGTTTTACTTCAAGGAGAGATCTTGAAATGGGTTTTTTTTTGACCATGTATGTAACACTATTCCATTTAGTTTGTTATTTCTGTCATGGTGAACCATATGATTTTCCAGTTCAGAATGGTCACTGTCAATGCATTTCAGCTCAGCAATGTCCAGAATATTGATCTCACATGCTCCACTTTATTTTTAATAATTTCAAATTTTACTTAATTCATACTTCCTCTATCCCATGTTCCAGTTATGGATGTTTCAATCTGTTTCTGCTCATTTTGAGTCACGTTTTATCAGCAAATGAAGGTGTTGAACATTTTGTTAAAACACCACAGATAAAGGTAAACAACCCAATTACAAAATGTGCATAGGATATGAGCAGACATTTCACCAAAGAAGACATTCAGATGGCCAAAAAACACATGAAGAAATGTTCAAAATCCCTAGCTCTAAGAGAGATGCAAATCAGAACAACTATGAGATATCATCTCACCTCAGTAAGAATAGAAAAATTTAACAGAACAGCAAACATCAAATGCTGGCGAGATTGCGAAACCTTTATTCACTGTTGGTGGCAGTGTAAAATGGTGCAACCATTCTGGAAAGCAGTATGGTGCTTTCGCAAAAAGTTGCAAATAGAACTACCATTTGACCCAGCAAGTCCATTACTGGGAATATACTCTGAAGAAACCAGAACAGCCACCCAAGCAGATATCTGCACACCCATGTTTATCGCGGCTTTGTTCACAATAGCAAAGAGTTGGAAACAACCCAGGTGCCCATCAACAAATGAATGGACAGAGAAGCGGCGGTATATTCACACAATGGAATACTACGCTGCATTGAAAAACAAGGAACTCATGAAATATTATACAGAATGGGTGACCCTGGAGGACCTTATGCAGAGTGAAAGAGCTCAGTCACTAAAGGACAAATACTGCATAGTGCCACTGTTATAAAACAGGACTGATATTGGGGGTGGGGAAAACTGAGAGGGGATATATAATGTACATTGCATTAAAACAGATGAGGGGGGTGGGAGGGTAGAAAAGTGCAACAGTGAATGAATGGAAATCCAAAATCTCTGTAAATGTTCATTAAAATTAATAATAATAAACAAACCAAAAAAACCCAGTTGAGGGAGAGAACTGCTTGAAAGGGATATACAAGTAGATACTATTTGCATGACAGCAGTCCAGAATGGGAGCTGCATAGTAAAGTGTACTAACAATGAAATAATTTTCTTTTTCTTTTCAAAGAGAAAAGCAAACTGGGGAGGAGGAAGGTGTACAACAGTGCATGAATGGAAATCCATGTTCTCTATAATCTTTCATTAACATCTCAAAAAAAAAAGGGAAAGTTTTGTTACAGCCATATATTTAAGGATGACTGGAAACCTCGCATTTCCAGTAATGTTTTGAATACCCTCCAGCACTTTATCAGACAATGTTCTGCTGCTACCCCTATAGTTTTCACGGATCAGTTCTCTTTGAAATGAAATTGCCTAGTCATTTTAATTTTCTTTTAGTCTGGAAGCTCTGCTGGAATCTGCCTTCACAGGTGACCCCAATTGTATTTGAAGTACTGTTGACTTATTATAGCAACATGTGAGCCACCAGAATATAGCTGACTGCAGACAAGTGGACCTTCCAGCCTTTTACTTTGAGATTTTTCAAACCTCCAGAAAACTTGTCTAAGTACTACAGTCTACTTCTGTAAATCTTTAATCAGTTGTTAAATTTATACTGAATTGACATTCTTTCTGGGAACTAGTGTTATTATTATGGCTCATGCTTTTAAAACTTTGTAATTCTTTTCATTGCCAGGGCAGAACACTGACATCTGGTTCAAAGCCATCTAACAAACGGACCAAAAGCATCTATACCCCTTTGGAGCTACAGTACATAGAAATGAAGCAACAGCACAAAGATGCAATTTTGTGTGTGGAATGTGGATACAAGTATAGATTCTTTGGCAGTGATGCAGAGGTAAGTTGTTTTTTCCCAGATATTACTTCATGTTTTTCTTGTCAAGGAGGTTAGAAGATTCTTTCAAATCTTTTAAAAATTTTATGACATTACAAAGTTTTATGTATAGAAGTTCTGTATATTCATGATTTATGAATTTTCATAGCGGTGAATGTAAGTATATTTCACTAGCACCTTAACTCCATTAGCTGTTAGCAGGATTTCTTTTTACTCCTGTCTTCTTTCTATGAAAAACTAATTAATGCAACTGATCCAGTCAATGGTCTTCTCAATTACTTGCTATGCATCGAAGAGCTGATCGAAGAGCTGGACAATAACTAAGGATGACAGAAGAAGAATCGATAGCTTTGGATTGTGATGGTGGAGAAGAGTCTTGAACATACCATTGACTGCCAAGAGAGCAAATAAATCTGTCTTTGAGGAGGTGAAACTGAGTTTTTCCTTGGAGGCTAGGATTTTGAAGCTCCGCCCCATATACTTTGGGCACTTGGCCAGGAGGGACCAATCTTTGGAGAAGGACATCTTGCTTGAAGGGTGGAAGGACAGTGCAGTAGATGAAGACTCCAGATGAGATAGATTGATATAGTTACTGGGGTAATGTAGGTAGGTGTGTTGGAGTCAGTAGACTGGCTCAGGAGAGGGCTGTCTTCAGAGCAGTTGTACATAGGGTCACTATGGGTTACAGACAACTAGACAGCACATAACAACAATAATAGATTTGATTCATTATCCTTTGATATGTTATTTCAAGTATAATGGAAACTAAACACAAACATACTCTTTGGTGAATGTTGACTTGTTGGGCAAAGTCTGGAGACACCTATTAGATGTTAATCCAGTACCTTTCAACCATCAGAAATTTATTAGATGAATAATTTAGCTAGTGAATCATAGTCATGTAAGTATCAATATTTCCTTGTAAACACTCCAGCAAGAAAAATTATGAGGTGTATAGAAGTTCTGTTTAGTCATGACTTAATTTTCATAGCTGTGAATGTAAGTAATTTTAGTGGCACCTTAACTCCATTAGCTGTTAGCAGGATTTCTTTTTAGACCTGTCTTCTTTCTATGTATTGTTGTTGTTATGTGTTGTCAAGTCACCTGCGACTCATAGTGACCCTATAAACAACAGCTCTGAACCCTGCTCTATTATTCTGAGCCAACCTTATTGTCTCTGGCACACGTACACCCATTATCCCAGTCACTGAGTCAATCCATCTCTTTCAGAGTTTTCCTCTCTTGCACTCTCTCTAAACTCCCAAGCATAATGTCTTTCTCTAGGGACTGGTCCCTTCTTAGTCTACACATACATGTTGTTGGGTACCATTGAGTTGGAACTGACCCATAGCTGAACCTCAAGCAGGTTTTCCAAAACAGTCATAAGGGAGGAGATTGCCCATCCTTCTCCAGAACAGCTGGTGGATTCAAACTGCCTTTGGAATTGCAGCGCAGCTTCTTAATAACATGTGTATCCCAAGTTTGTGCTTTGTTAAATTTTCTCAAAGAGAACAGGCTCTACAGAGGGAATCTTAAAATATAAATTTACTGATAATTTCTTTTAAAAATTTTATAGATTGCAGCCCAGGAACTGAATATTTATTGCCATTTGGATCACAACTTCATGACAGCAAGTATACCCACTCACAGACTCTTTGTTCACGTGCGCCGCCTTGTGGCAAAAGGATATAAGGTCAGCTTTGTCTTCAATTCCTAGGAAATAAAGATGGGATTCTCTTTCATAGAGTTGAAAAATACACGTGTTCGAGTGGTGGATTTTAATTACTTTTGGAATTAGACATTTTCAAGAAGATTGAAATGTGTTGTTGGCTTTATATCTGTGAGTTTTGAACATACTGTTAGATGTTTAGGATAAAAAAAAATTCTTTGAACCTCTGTTTCTAAATGGTCTGGTTATACTTGTAAACATCCTGAGTAGTTAGTTATTACTTAAGCTTTACATCTCAAAACTGTGAAATAATTTATTTATTTTAAATGTTTCAAAATTAACCTAAAACTTTGAAATGTGCCTTCCTCACTCCGTCCCTCTTTTCATCTTATTTCAAATGTATTATTATTTTGTGTGTGTGTGTGTGTGTGGTTTTATCAAATATATTATTTCTTATATTTGTTGAAGGTGGGGGTTGTGAAGCAAACGGAAACCGCAGCATTGAAAGCCATTGGGGACAACAGAAGTTCAGTTTTTTCCCGGAAATTGACTGCTCTGTACACAAAATCTACCCTTATTGGAGAAGATATCCTTTGTGAATTGAATTTTTACTGAAATGTCGTAGGGGATTTGTTAGATGATATGTGTCTCTTTGAAATATTTGGCTGTTTTTTAAAAGTGCGTGTAATTTTGATCAGATGGAATGATGGGACAGTATCCTCTCCTTTGGTGAGGGTAGGGTTGGTAATGCTGGAAACAAGTGTTTATCAAATACCGCCAAGAAAGTGGAGTTCATCGTATTTTAACAGAGCTCTGTCGAACTCTCATTGCTTTTGAGTCAGAACAGACTTAAAGCCGGCCCTCTAGTTGGTTTTCAGAGGCTGTAAATTGCAAGAGAGGACATTGCCCATCTTTCTTCCAAAGAGCAGCTGGTGGACTTGATCCACCTGCCTTTGGGTTGATAGTACAACTGCTTACCCACTAGACCACCAGAGCTCCCACAGCAAGAAAAGTTAGTCAACCAGAGAATCTGATTAAAAAGTGCTAGCAGTTTAAGCAGCTGATTTGAAATCACATTTTTCTCACACCATTTGTGGGTGGTGAGTAGATGCTTAAGACTGACAAACTTTTCAAGGCCTTACTAAAATGGGACTTGAAAAGACCTTATTAGCTTTAAGATGTGAAAAGACCTTATCAACAAATGAATGGTTAGAAAAACAATGGACTATTATGCAGCATTGAAAAATAATGAACATGAGCCTGGAGGACATTATGCTGCTGTGTAATATCTCAGTCAAAAAAGGACAAGTACTGTGTCACACCACTGTTATAAAATAGGATAGCCATGGGTAATTGAGGAGAAAATGGGAAAAGAGTGGATAAATATCAGTGCTGCAGTCAATCAGATGAAGGGAGGAACTGTCTGAAAGGAATATATTACAAGTGTGACCACAGTCTGAAACAAGGAGTGCACTGCAGGGAAGGGTGCGGGCAGGGGGGAAAATGTACAACAATGAAAAGAAAAACTTTCAATGTTTGGGGAAAAATGTGAAAAGACAGCAAAATCAAAATGAGCACCCTTTTAAAATGCTTATAAAACACAGTAGTAGGCCATGTTCATTAAATCTTAATTAACTTCATGAAAATTTTATTACTTTTGAAAATGCATTGTAAGTGTTCTGATTTTACAAGAGCCTTCTGTGTGCTGCACAGTGATTACCCAAATGTGCAGTTATTTATAAATTAAATTAGTTACTTAACGCGAAATAATTTCAAAAGCATAGTTATAAAATATTCTTAATTTAAAAAAAACACATAATTGTAAGCTAAATGATATAAATGTGCATTAAAAAATACTCACTCTAGAGTAGGGGCAGATTGAAAGAAGAAAGGCTAAATGATATTTTGTGAAAATAGTATTTTTGTTATGGTTTATTATGTATCAGCTCAATTAGAGACTAGCCTAGAACTCTGAGAACCGCTGTGTCTGTAAGAAGCATGAGGAGTGTGCACCAGCCTTTCCTGATGGACCTGCAGGCCAGTCACAACTTCATGGGCTCTAAATGGATCAGACTGTCAACCTAAACCAAAACCAAACCACTGACGCTGAGTTGATGACAAGAGTGGAATGATGGCATAGGATTCCCAAGGTATCAGTCTTTATGGAAGCGGACTATCTCATCTTTCTCCTATAGAACATCCGTTAGATTCAAACCGTCAACTTTTACGTTAGCAGATGAGTACTTAACTGCTACACCAGTGGTTTTCTGGTTTTCCCCGAGTCTGAGCTGCTCATTCAGAACCGCTTCTGCTTTGCTGTTGTAGCTATTCTCATTCTCATTGTCTTCAATGAGAACAGACTCATCGCTGATTTGCATTCCATGCGTTTCTGAGACTGTAAATGACACAGGAAGAATCTCTCTCCCATGGAGCTCTTGGTGGATTCAGACTGCCAGAGGTTAGCACTGCAACTTCCTGTGGGGCCATAGCCCTAGAACTCCCTTATCTACTCAAATATCACAGCTAATATCAAGCTGTCTAGGGTATCTTCAGATGAAGATATAGTGAACTGCTTCGTATTCTCTCTGTGTGTGTATGTATACAAGTTGTTGTTGGTGTGTTGTGGAGTTGGAATCGACCTATAGCTCACCCTCCAGCGGATTTTCAGAGGCAGTAAATCACACAGGAGGAGATTGCCCATCCTTCTTCCGTTTATCAGCTGATGGATTCGAACTGTGTGCCTTCAGGTTGCAGTGCAGCTTCTTAACCACTGGGCCACCAGAGCTCCTGGACATAGCCCAGGTTAAAATCACAGGCCAAACCACTGTTGAGTATGTATAATGTATTCTTCTAGGTGCTTTGAACCAAACAAAACCCAAAGTCATTGCTTTCAATTAGATTCTTACTCAGGGCGACCCTCCATCAGGATTCTGAGGCTACATATCTTTACTGGAGGAAACTATGTTGTTCTCCCTCAGAGCAGGAGATTTTTCAGACCACTGACCTTTTTGGTTGATAGTCTGACAGGCTATGTACTGTGCCACCAGAACGCCTTAGCTTTTTTGGAAGTGAGGAGCTAATAGTCATCTGATTGTGTCATAACTGAGGAGGGACGAGGCTTATGGCTATGAACAGAGTAAGTCAAAGGAATGAATTACTGTATGGAAAATTTTTTTGCACAGAGCCAATTATCTCCTAAATTTCTGGGAATCATTTTCAAGGAGAAAACAGCTAATGGGAACATAGAATCTCTTTTTCTTTAATAAATATTACATGTGAATCCCCTCATCAAGCTGGATGATGCTGTAAGTGTTGAGGAAATAACGACTGATACTTCTACCAACTATCTGCTGTGTATCTGTGAGAAGAAGGAAACTGTTAAGGACAAAAAACAGGGGAATGCTCTTATTGGCCTTGTGGTAAGTACTTTGTGGGTGAAGAAGAACTAACTGCTCAAATCATCTGCTTTGCTGCCCTTAAATACTAGATTTCCTTGCTTTATTGAAAGTTATGCAAAATTAATTGCATAAGTAGCTGTGATGCTGGAGAAGAGTGTTGAATATACTATGGACTGCTAGGAGAACAAACAGGTTTGTCCTGGAGAGGGTGAAGCCAGAATGTTCCCTGAAGTCAAGGATTCTGAAGCTTTGTCTGACATATTTTGGGCATGTTGCAAGGAGGGACTGGTTCTTGGAGAGGGGCATCTTGTTTTGCAGAGTGGAGGGGCGGCGAAGGAGAGGAAGACCTTTGATGAGATGGATAGATTCTGTGACTGGAGAGGTGGGAATAAGTGCATATAGAGCTCTTGTACATAGGGTCGCTATGAGTCGCAAGCAACTTGATGGTACATAACAACAACAGCAAACATTAACTATGAACTTTGATAAATGTCGATAGTTATAGAAAGGCTTCAGGCCTTTTGTTTATAGGGTCTCTATGAATTATGCTTGACTTGATGGCAATCAACAACAATCAACAGTCAACAAGAAGAATTAACTAATTCTAACTATTGCTACTGATTTCTAACTTTTGTCATCAGCAGCAATGACAACAGGCATTTTTACAACCTCGGTGTCTCCAGTACCTTTAATACCTTATTTGAGGTGCATGAACTCGGTGCTAACTTGACATTTGCTTAAGCAACAAGCCCTTCTCTCTGGGCGTTAGCGTTACGCTTGCAGTTGTTTGGCCCTAAATGATTTTTTATCCTTGAGAAACACGTTTCATCTGGCCATGAGAAGGTTGACCCTATCAACAAATAGCAAGGCTGTTTGCTTTCAAGCTTTAACAGATGCAGTGTGCCTGCTTGTATTTACCTGAAACTCACTCGAAAGAGCACAGTTGCTAGTGTTCAACTCCTGCTTAGTGTGGTCAGAAATACTCTCGGGTCTGTTCAGGGTTTGTGAAATAGGGATAAAGAAAATGAAAAATGATAGTTTAGCCCTCAAGCATTTTTTAGGGCGTGTCCCATTCTTTTTATTTTAAAAAATAATTTATTGTGCTTTTGATGAAGTGTTATGTAGTAGTTTAGGTTCCTGCTAAGCAGTATCTAAACACATTATTCAGTGACAATCGCTACATTATTCACAACCTGTGGACTTTCTCAGTATTTTCATTCTGGCTCCATTTTACTAATCTGATAACCCTACCCTGTTGCAAGTTTATCTTTGTTCTAAAATAGTTGTTGACTATCTCATATATGTAAATTTTGTTAAGGAGCACAGTGCTGATGAGTGATAATTAATCTTTTGGGCTAATCGTTCCCCCCTTCTTGTTGTGTGCCATCGAGTCGGATTCGACTGGCACAGGAGGAGACTGACCCTCCTTCACCAGCAGAGCATCTGGTGGATTCAGACTGCATGCCTTCGAAATTTTAACACAGCTTCTTGCCAACAGGCCACCAGAGCTCCCTGAGCCATTTTTTTTTTTTTGCCACAAGGTGAACTCAGGGGTCAGTTTCAGTTCAGAGTTTAAAGGTGTCTTGGGGCAATACAATAGTCTTGAGGAGTCCTCCAATTTCAACAAGTCTGTTTTTGTTGATGTTGGAGTCGAGTTGGAACCAACTCATAGCTGACCTTCTAGCCTGTTTTCAGAAGCTACAAAATGCACAGAAGATTTCCCATCTTATTCCGTCACAGTAAATAGTGGATTCGAACCTGCTGCCTTTGGGTTGGCAGCAAAACTCCTTACTCACTAGGCCACTAGAATATGCTTCAACTAGTTTGTTGTTGTGTACTGTTGAATTGGAACCGACCCATAGCTGAGCCTCCAACAGGTTTTCAGAGGCAGTCAATTGCATGGAAGGAGATTGCCCTTCCTTCCCCCGTAGAGCAGCTGGTGGATTCCAACTGCATGTCTTCGGGATTGCGGCGCAGCTTCTTTCCTCTAGGCCACCAGAGCTCTCTTCAACAAGTTTAGTAGATCTGTATTCTCATTCTCTCAGGATCATAAGAAGTAACTTTAAGTCAGCATGCTTATTTCACTGTACAGATTATTTACTTGAGATTTATTCAGAGTTGGTTATCTTTTTTTAAATAATACTTTTAATATATTTGTTTAGAGTAATTCAGTAGCAGTTTACTTATATTCTGATAGTATGATCGGAGCCTTTCTCATTACTTTTAATGATATGACTACTTAGATCTGGTAAACTAAGCTAGTACTTTGTAGTTTACCAGCTGATTACATGTTTATTTTCTGATTTGATTTTTATAAAAACCCAGAGCAGGAAGTAGGCTGATTTATTCTTATTTTCAGAAGAAGAACTGAGGCCCCAGCAATTTGATGCTGTCTGGGTTTATAGCTCCAGACTTTGTGCTAAGGCTGGCTCTGACATCCCATCCAGCATAGTTCAGGTGAATCCGAATCCTTCTTTCAGACTTGTTGTAAATGGAGAATGCAGTATTGACTCTATCATCTCAACCACTGCCAGGTGGGGAACGTGTACTTTCTATCATGTTGTGTTTTTATTTCTAGGCTGTGCAGCCGGCCACAGGGGAAGTGGTGTTTGACAGCTTCCAGGACTCTGTTTCCCGTTCTGAACTTGAGACTCGGATACTGTGCCTGCAGCCGGTGGAGCTGCTGTTGCCGTCTGACCTGTCAGAGCAAACAGAGACGCTCATCCGCAGAGTAACTGCTGTTAGGTAAGTTGGCCCTGCTGCAAAGTCATGCTGATTCAGAAACCTAGACTCACTTCTAAAGCTGACTCAACACTCAGTGCCATCAAGTCAATTCGAGCTCATAGTGACTCTCAGTTCATGTTCAGTATCTTTATCTACTGAAGGGCCCTGGTAGTTTATTGGCTGAGCACACAGCTGCCAACTGAGAAACTGGCGGTTCAAACCCAGCAGCTTCTCTGCCTGGGATCATGTAGTATTTTGCTACTGTAAAGATTATAACATTGGAAACCCTCTGGGCTTCTGATCTGTCTTCTAGTGTCAATTATGTCTGTGGTAGTGGTTTAACTTTATTTACCAGATCAAAGAGCACATCTCTTATTTATGAGGCAGTGTCCTGTTTGTTAGTGACAAACCAAGGAAGAAAACATGGCTGTGTTCCATGTCTATCAGCTTCTCATCCAGTTGAGGGGATGTGCGTACTCCTAGCTGGATTCATGATTCATAAATCTCACTTGACAGTGTCTAGTTGAGAGAGGAGAGACCAGAAAGGTGGGCTTGGGCTAGAATAAAGACGACTTTATATACAGGTGGTGCCTCATTTACAGTGAGGCTCTGTTGTCAGTTCTACTGTATGTTTAATACTACTTCCCCCCCTTCCATCTTCACTGTTACTGTCTGTAGTTATCAGTATCTTTAGAAATGCCGTCTTTATCTTTAGGGGTTAGAAACATTACATATAAATTTACAGATATATTTTCTTTCTTTTTTTTATTATTATTAAATTTTATTAGTTTCAATGAACATTCACAGGGATTCTGGGCTTTCACTCCTTCATTGCCATACCATTCTCTCAACCCTCCTCCCCAGTTTGTTCTTCTTCCCCGCCATCCGAATGTCTGTTTTAATTGTCCAATTGCCACAGTGCTTGTCAAAGTCAGTTCTGATTAATCTCCTTTTTCGGTGTGTCCTTTGCCATTCCCTATCACTCCTCCCTGAGAGAGACTTCCCCCTGATTCATAAGGAAAAGGGGATGGCGTATTCTCTTAGCTACTTCCTGCTGAAAAGGGACGCTATGGGTTTCAGGGTGAAGGTCTTCTCTCACTACTCTAAAGGGCCCCTTTGGCAGTAGGAAACACATAGACTATTATGGAGATTGATTTTGGAATTTAGATGCACTCTTATTGATTGTGCTTGGCCGTACATGTTCATATCCTTGAAGATGTATCATGGGGGTGTTGCAACCTAGAAGACACAAATTTGACTAACAAGTTATAAGTACATGAGTCAAAAATTATGGAAAAGTAAAAGAAAAGATTCTTTCATTGTTTTACAAACCCTCCCCCAGGTCCCCTCCACCATGTAGCCCTCGCTCTAGACTCCTGTGATGACAGAAATACCTAGTTATATATCTCTTTTAAACAGTTTTCTCCCTCCTCTGTTTCAGTGCAGTATACATTATTGAACCCATCTTACTCAGTCTCTCCCCAACCCCAAGGACAGTCCCATTCTACAACAGTGGCATCATGTAATATTTGTCCTTTTGTGTCTGGGATATTTCACTCAGCATAATGTTCTCCAGAGTCAACCATTTTGAATAATATTGCATGAGTTCCTTGTTTTTTAATGCAGCATAGTATTCCATTGTGCGAATATACCACAGCTTCTCTAGCCATTCGTTTGTTGATGGGTACTTAGGTTGTTTCCAACTCCTTGCTATTGTGAACAAAGCTGCAATAAACATGAGTGTGACAGATATATTTTCATATATACATGTTGTTGTTATTATATACCAATGCGTTGGAACCAACTCATAGCTGATCCTTCAGTGGGTTTTCAGAGACTATACATTGCACAGGGGAGAGTGCCCATCTTTCCCCTGTGGAGCAGCTGGTGGATTCGATACATATGGAAAATGTTCATTATGAAATTTACTTCAGCTAGAGAAGAGTTAGACCATGTTAGCATTTTGCCAGTTGTAGTAATAAATCCATCTGTGGAGGGTCTGGAGTCATCGGGATTCTCCCTGGGAAGGGGGATGGTTGCCAGTAAGAAAATGAGTACAGATTGCCTTTATGGACCTTTTGGGCGTTTTCTTCATATATTTCAAGAAATCATTTCACTACCTGAAACTCTGTGTATTGACTTTAGTAAAGTGATTGATATTTTAGTAATAGGTGCATGTTTTCAGTCTCCTGACGCCTCTGATTTAGCAAACTAGATTTGTGTTGTGATACTGTTTTAAACAGTAAGTCATAAAATTGAATGTTTGAGAATGATGAAAATCAGCAAATTATACACTGCAATATTGCATGTTGCAGCGGGTTTTCAGAGTCAGTTAATCATATGGGAGGAGATTGCCCACCCTTCTTCCTCAGAGCAGCTGGTGGCCTTGAACTGCATGCCTTTGAGATTGCAGTGCAGCTTCTTGCCACCAGGCCACCAGAGCTCCCTAGTACGTATTTTTAAATTGTGGTTTGAGTGAAAGTTTACAGAGCCTGTTGGTTTTCCATTCAGCTGTTCATGTACAGTTTATTTTGTGACATTAATTGCAATAGGGAGTTCTGGTGGCCTTGTGGTAAAAAACTGCATTGCAGTCCCGAAGGCACACAGTTTGAATCTGCCAGCTCCCTGGGAGAAGAATGGCAGTGTCTTTTGTGGATTGACGGCCTCTGCCTCTGAAAACCTGCTACAGGAGGGGCAGCTGTGGGTCGGTTTCAGCTCGATGGTACATAACAAACAATTGTAATACCCACTATGTCAACACGCTCTTGCCACTTCCTTCTTATGGTTTTCGTTTCCATTTGCCCTGTAATACTGCCCCTTCTTGGTCTTTTGCACTGTAAACCTGAAAAAATGCCACACTTTTCATCTTAAGTGGTTGACTCGTCTAAGGCGTGAGTGCCCCTGATGGTGGTGTTCACCCTATTGGCTTGTTTGACTCACAGTTGATTCCAGAGCTGGGTTTTGTTCCAGGCTTAAAGATTGACTAAGGACCATAATCTTGGGACATTTCACAGGTTACTTTTAGACCAGAAAGCTTGGCCATTGTTAGTTATTTTATAGGTTTGCTTCTTGAGATTGGCATAAGATACGACAGGGTTCAGATCTATTTTCACAGGGTTGCTATGAGTTGTACTTGATTTATGGCACCTGCCATCACCACAACCCACCGTCACCAGCAGCAGCAGCAACAACAACCACTGTAAAGACTAGATCTGTCTTAGAAGAAGTACAGCCGGAGTACTCCTTGGAGATGAGGATGGTAAGACGACTTCTCACATGTTAAAGATACTTGTTGTTGTTAGGTGCCATCAAGTTGAGTATGACCCACCTGTGAACAACAACTCTGATCTTAACTGTGAACAACAGATGGAAATCCTGTTCTACCCTGTGCCATCTTCACACTTCCTGATACACTAGAGTCCATTGCTGCAGTCACTGTGTCAGTCCACCTGGTTGAGGGTCTTCCTTTCATTTCCTGACTCTCCAAGAATCATGTCTCTCTCCGAGAATAGCCTTTATTTATTAGCAACATGCCCAAAGTATGTGAGGCGAAGCCATATCATCATTCTTGCTTCTAAAGAGCCCTCTAGCTGCACCTTCTCTAAGGCAAGAGAATGATACTATATTTGATAAAGCAGAAGGTTGGTGAACAAGAGAATACTTTGTTGCCTTTGAGTCTGTACTGACTCATAGCTGACCCTCCAGGAGGTATGCGGAGGAGGAGATTGCCTGTCTTTCTCCCTTTGAGCCTCTGGTGAACTCGAACTGCCCACCTTTTAGTTGGGAGTGCAACTCCCAACCCATCAGTCCCCCAGAGCTCCCTTACAGGCAGGGCCCTCAATAAGATGGGTTGACACAGCTGCTGCAGCAGTCAGTGCAAGTACAGCTGAGGCTGTGAGGACAGCGCACAATTGGGCATTTTTTTCATTGTTATATTGAACAGAGGGTTGTGTAGTTACTTAAGAGCTCCAAAAAAAATATTAAGGTATTTTTGTATAATTTGTTTTGACCACTAGAGGTCTCCAAAGGATTTTATATTTTGTGAATTGATTCTCCAACTAGATTACTCACCAACTTTACGTTTATTTTATCACAAAATACAGACTTATTTACTTTGCATCTGTGTGCAGTAGTACTAGTCAGAAGTGGTTGTTGTTGTGGTTAGGTGCCGTTTAGTATGACTCATAGTGTGACCTTATGAACAACAGGCCTGAATTCTGTCCTGTCCTGTGCCATCCTCACCATCTCTGATATACTTGAGCCCATTGCTGCAGTCACCATATCAGTCCATCCTGATCGTGGAAGGTCTTCTCTTTCGCTTGCCCTGGACCCTTCTGAGCATGATATCCTTTTCCACTGACTAGCCTCTCCTAACAATATGTTCAAAGTATGAGAGACAAAGCTTTGTCCTGCTTGCTTCCAAAGAGCACTATGGCAGTACCATTGCCAAGACATACTTGTTTGTTCTTTCAGCAGTCCGTGGGATATTATTTAGTCCTCTTCTCCAACACCACAACTCAAAGGTGAGAGTTCTTCTGTCATCCTTATTTATCATCCTACTCTCAGAAACATAGCAAGTAAATGAAAAGACCGTGGTCTGAATCAGGCACACCGTAGTCTTCAAACCAGCATCCCTGCTCTTCAGAATTTTGGAGAGATCCCTGACAGCACACTTGCCCAAAGCCATATGTCTCCTTAATTTTCTGACTGTTGGTACTGAGGGTGTTGATAGTGAATCCAAGCAAGACGAACTCATTAACAGTTCCAGTCCTTTCTCCACCTATCATGATGTTGCTCACTGGCCCAGTGGTAAGGACCTTTGTCTTCTTGGTGTTAGGATGCAATCCATAGTGAAGGATGTAGTCTTTGATCTGCTACAAGCGCTTCATGTTCCCTTCATTTTCAGCAAGCAAGGTTGTGTTACCTGCATAGTACAGGTTGTTGATGCGTCTTCCTCTGATCCTGATGCTACATTTTTCTTCATAGAATCTAGCTTCACAAATTATTTGCTCAGCGTACAG